GATTTATAATCCTTCAGGTATATGCCCAGTAATGGGATGGCTGGGTCAAATGGTAATTCTAGTTCTAGATCCTTGAGGAATTGCCACACTGTCTTCCACAATGGTTGAACTAGTTTACAGTCCCACCAACAGTGTAAAAGCATTCCTAGTTCTCCACATCCTCTCCAGCATCTGTTGCTTCCTGACTTTTTAATGATTGTCATTCTAACTGGTGTGAGATGTTATCTCATTGTGGTTTTGATTTGCATTTCTCTAATGACCAGTGATGAAAAGCATTTTTTCATACATCTGTTGGTACATAAACGTCTCCTTTTGAGAAGTGTCTGTTCATATCCTTTGCCCATTTTTTGATGGGTTTTTTTTCTTGTAAATTTATCAAGATAACTTTGTTTTCATATCTATTCTTGGACTGTAATAATTTTCAATGAAGTGGGATAATGAACATTAGTAGTCCCAAAAGCAGGAATCAATGGTTTTGGAGAGCTTATATGATTTTGCTACTTTTGATAATTTAAGACCAAACTTTGGTGTGTTCTTTTAATGTGTGCTTTCAGGTGAATACTACATGGTTACCAAAATGTGATGTCAAAATTTTGACAAAGTTGATCAATAAACTAATAATGCACATGATGCTTATTGAATATAAACTACAAAATTATATGTTTTTTCTTGGTCTGGATGTGTCTATCCAAGTGAACTTATTTAAAGAAAACACATGGGCCAGGCGTGGTGGCTCACGCCTGTAATCCTAGCACTTTGGGAGGCCAAGGCAAGCAGATCATGGGATCAGGAGATTGAGACCATCCTGATTAACATGGTAAAACCCTCTCTCTACTAAAAATACAGAAAAATTAGCTAGGCATGGTGGCGGGCGCCTATAGTACCAGCTACTCAAGAGGCTGAGGCAGGAGAATGGCATGAACCCAGGAGGCAGAGCTTGCAGTGAGCCGAGATTGTGCCACTGCACTCCAGCCTGGGCGACAGAGTGAGACTCCATCTGGGGAGGGGAGAGGGATAGCATTAGGAGATAAACCTAATGTAAATGATGAGTTAATGGGTGCAGCACACCAAAATGGTACATGTATACATATGTAACAAACCTGCACGTTGTGCACATGTACCCTACAATTTAAATAATAAAAATAAATACATAAATATGCTTGATAATATATTTAAAAAAGAAAACACATGTAAAACTTACTGAAAAAATAAATTAGAAAATCTGATAAATTCTATTTTTATTGCTTCCAATATAGTAACTTCATTAATTACAAGCAAATTGTTAGAGATTTTTAGAGGAATAATTTTCATGGACAAAGTGTTCTTACATTTATTACACTAACCATAAGCATGTAGATATTTCAAAATACTTTGAAGGTATTTATTCTCTTGATGTATTAATTTCAAGTTCATTGCTATTATAAACCTATTCCTTAACAAAAATGGAAAACATAAAAGCGGACTTCCACTCATAATATCACAAAGGTCTAATGTGGGTGCTGAATTAATCATGTTGCTACTTATTTCATAAAAGAGTAAGACACATTTTCAAAGGATAGATCTTGCTTTACATAAAGTGTTCTTGAACTGCATTAGAGACATTGAATAATTCTGTACAGAAGTCCAGATTCAACTTTCCTGAAAACGATTGGGGAAAGACTAGATAAATGATCATAGCTAATACTTATTGTTTAGGTAAAAGTACCTAAGTAGAAAAGTGATCTTTAGGCCAGGCACAGTGGCTCATGCCTGTAAACTTAGCACTTTGGGAGGCTGAGGCAGGCAGATCACTTGAGGTCAGGAGTTTGAGACCAGCCTGGCTAACACGATGAAACTCTGTCTCCACTAAAAATACAAAAATTAGCCGAGTGTGGTGGTGTGCACCTGTAATCCCAGCTGGTCAGGAGGCTAAGGCAGGAGATTTGCTTGAACCTAGGAGGTGGAGGTTGCCTTGAGCTGAGATCACCACCACTACACACCAGCCTGGGCAACAGAACCAGACTCTGTCTCAAAAAAAAAAAAAGGAATAGAAAGGATCTTTAAATACCTGAAAGAGAGATGTAAACATTAAAAAAGGGAATAATTTAAGTGTAAAAATAATTCTAGCCAATGACTTTATAAGGACTAGCTTTTTGGATTGTGACAGTTCTTAGTTATGGAAGCTAAGACATCCTTACCCCGGTTAGGTAACTCACACAGGTCACAAAGGCTGTTAGTTTTGGAGCAGACTCCTATCCTGCATACTTTGTTTTCAAGTTCTTAACTGTCTCTATCCCCTTATTTGATTAGCTGATCCAGTACAGAGTAATAGTCAAACATTTAAGGAAGTTGGTATTTAGATTTGCAAATAGAAAGAAGGGGACAAATATTTTAAACTCCTTCAATGTTCCTGACACAATATTAAGAACTTACGAAGTTTTCTCACTATTTATCTTTATACTTACATTTGGTAAAGCCTTTATAAGACTATAAGATCTGAGATTTGTTTGGAATCAAGCAACTGAACAATGAAAAATAAATACAAGTAATTAAAGATTTGGGAAGTAACTCTATTAATAGAAGAAAACATAATGTATTTGTTGTGTAGAAAAGGGTATGTTAATGAGAAACTTACTAATAAGAGTTTCTAGATATCTAAAAGGCATTTGTGACCAGAGTTTTCTTGTTTTCCCAAGCCAATATAAATAGAAACGAAACTAAATTATATGGGGCAGGATACAGTATTCATGAGTAAAATGTAGCTAAGAATTACCACGGTGCTGATAGAACATTGAGTAACCACTGTATATCAGTAATAAAGGCAGAGACAGAGATAGAGATATCAAGCTACATTAGAAAAGATGTAATATCAATTCTCATTCCTTTGCTCTACAGTGTTTTTCTTAGGGAAATAAACATAAATACACAAATATTTATGTATATGAAGTTCATCCTGCTTTCCAATCTGTAAGTTATGTGAAATTGTCTCTATTTTTAAAGAAGTATAAGAAACTCATAGAGTTTAAGAAGTCTTCCCAATTTCATAAAGAAATTAAGTGGAAGTCAAGGGAGGCAGTTTATGGAGAAAAAATTAAAGCACAAAGCTTGGAGGTAGATCTGAGTTCCAGCGTGCACTTGGGCACTTTCTGTCATTTGACTGTGAGAAAATTACTTCTCAATACTTTATTTGTAAAATAAAACATAAGAATACACACAAAATTGTTGGAAAGATTAAATAGGCATCATGTCAGTAGAAACACTTTGAATATGAATATAAATACTTTTTAAAGAATTTATGGAACAACAGATTTCCTTCTTGGCCTATGGTTGAAGGTTAAATTAAAGAACACTAAATGCTCATGTTTTTAGTCAGTAAGACTTTGATCTAAACTTTTAAAGCTGCTTCTGAGCAAATGTTTTCATTTGACTACTTCTCATCTTCAAACTCATGCATAGTATAAGTCATTCTTGCCATCTAACATGTGTCCAATACAGTTCATGATTTGCATTAACTTTGAGAGATTTTAGTTATCTAATAGGGAAAGAAATAGTAGTTAGAACATTGGGCATCTTTGAGAGATCACCTACCCAATATTTTCAGAAAGTACTACAAGATGGCCCTTGTGACATACAGGGATGGAGAATTACAGCGAACAATGAACACTACTTACAATTTCAGAGAAGAACAGGATGGATCTTAGGGCCAACAAGTTTAAAATGTCTTTTACCTCTTATTATACGTTACTCATTTTATCACATCCAACTGGAATTATTATTGTGCTTATTATTGAAAGCTTCTAGAAATTTGCAAGAAGCACATAGACCCAATAATTGATCTGATCATTAGTCACCAAAAAAAAAAAAAAATGCTTAAGTCATGAATAGCAGCAGAATCCATTGATCGTAAATAAAGTAGAAGGGAGACATTACTGAGCAATTTCCACCAAGCAAGATAATTAAAGTCAGAGATGCCGTTTCCTGCTTCCCTGGTATAAACAATGAAGCTGCTCTACTGGCCTCTCCACAGCCTGGATATCCCAAGGCCACCTCCCTCTTTCCTTCCACATTCTCTAAAGAGGATTCTGGGTCATAAGGGAAGGAAAATTGGTGTAACTTCTTTCCTGAAACGACTTCAGCTTTCGCTGTGTTTGTATTTGTGACATCTTATTATAAGACGAGCTAACATCTATTATTAATTGATGCACTAATTAAAGCCATACTTGCAGTTTCCATTAGCTTATTCCCTAAATTCTCCAGAGTTGGCTGTCTGGTTTTAATCAAAACCAAATGGTAGTCCAAATTCCCAGCCTGGAGCAGCTAGAAGGAAGTCATTCAGGGGAGGCACAAGAAAGCAGAAAAGATAAACAGATGATAGTTCACAAAATTTGTGACGGATGAAGGATGCAGATACCAAGAGCGGCTTTAGAGATGTGATTCAGGAATGCTGCCATGCTAGATGGAAGCAGTTGTAAGTGTTTAATGTCAGCAAGATTCTAATACGATCAAGATGGAGCCTGTCTTCTGCTCCAGCACTGGATTTTTGTAACTGGAGGATTCTGACTAGAGGTAATGTGCTGCTGCATTTGCCATCACACAAACTATTTTAATTCTGTGAAGGATTCTTGTGATCAGAGAGATCTGGAAGAAATCGTTCTATTAACTGGATGCTTGGGATTTTACTTACAGATGGTCTCAGGGACAAATGAAAAGCTGCAGCATTTCCAATTTTAAGTAACGTTCAGAAAAGGTTTTACCATTTAGAAGAATTATGGTATTAAGGCTAAATTCATCTTGCTCTCTTAAAAGATCTTTTGAAATGAGAGCAAGCAAAGGCATTTTGATTAAGCTGTGCATATACATTTAATATAGTGGAAAGGTGGTGGATGGAGAGAGAACTATGTTTTCTTTTTTTCTTTCTTTTTCATAAGCAGTGTGGGATAGAAAAAGCTCTAGGACTTTATGACTCTCCAGCTAATCACCTCAAGAGCTCTGACAAAACTCACTTGAGTTCTGTGTAAAATCAGAACTCCTAAAACGCCCAGGCGGCTGGGCTCTCCCCTCCTCCCCTCTCTTCGTACAGCCTTTCTCGCATGCACACTCCTCAGAGGCAGGAAATACTTTCCAGGCAATCTGGGCCTGGTTGTGGAGGCCCCTTTTGCAAAACCTCAGTCTGAATTTAGTAGACAGAAGTCACCAGGAATGCCTTGACAGAATCCTGCCTTAGCTAAGGCTCCCTCCAGCTGCAGAGGGTGTTTTTGTTAGAATCACACACTGCGTGAAACTGCTCAGAATAGAGCCATGATCTCAACCACGAAATGGGAACTTAGATTTTGGAGAAACCAACGGGGACGGACTTCTTTCCTAGCCTGAGTGTTGAGCAGTGTCATGCCTTGGCGTTTCAGCTCCTCGTTGTCTAGGTAAGACGCTATGGACTATCTTTATGCTTTGAGGCGTTCTTTGAAGAGAGAGAAAGATTGAGATAAATGTTAGCATCTTGCCCTGAGTTGCTGACTTCTTAGGTTTTAGAGCAAAGCCATAAAATCAGAAGTGGAAAATGTTTGATAACTAGAAAATTGTGAGTCAATTCGTTTTAGCAAACTGTCAGTTCTAAAATAGACTCCATATAGATGTAACTGTTTTCCTCCATAAAGTAAGATTTTATTTTTATCCCTTTTCATGTTTAACTTATTTATTAATTGAGCTGTCAGATCAGTTTTCCTATTTCTTGGCACAACGTGAAACAAATACATTTTCTCACACATCAGTGTGAGGTGTAAATGAATTCCTACCCTACCTTCCTGTGCCAAGAGGGAGAGTAGAAAGCACCCGAGTGACTTTTGCTTAATAATCAGTCTCCAAAGAGTATTTTGTGTCTCATTTGAAACTACGAAGATTGAATTTCTTATTATTTTACCCAAGCCAGTTTCAACCATATGTCAAGCTTCTCCTGTACAGCTTAAAAGGTTCATTTTTTTAAAAAAGTAAACACGTGAAATTTCAGGAATCATTTCTCTCCTAAGTAGTATTTAGTCTGAGTTTTGGAAATTTAAGTGTCGGAATCGAATTTAGTTTACATTAATTTTCTTGGATCCACTGCTTAGGTCACATTTTGTGTAATATTTTGAATAACTGAAGTCAATCTCAATGACACTGACACTCATTATAACTCTTTTAAGGCAGTCAGAAATCACTCCAGTCATATGGAAACTGTTTGTGTCCTTACTTTATGTAATCGTAAAATTACATTTCCACCTGACTGTAGTCTCTTTAAGGTAATCTTAAATGTTTAAATGTACAATATATTAGGAAAGAAGTTTAGTAATGACTGAAAAAGTATGGACTTATAATGCATAAGATACTGTTATATTTCTGAATATTTATAATAAAAATCATCATTTTCCAGAAATAAAATGGTACATAAAGGGAAGAAATATTCATGTACATTTTCAAATCTATTAGATGAACACAAAATATGCTAAGTGAAAGATGGAGAGCTATTTTGACAGTTGAATCATAAGAAATCAAGTAAGTGTTCATAAGTTTTTATTTAGTACAAGGTGACCATCTGCTATATTAGCTATTCTCAAATTTTATACTAGAATAACTTATATTGATACATTTTAACTATTCAGTGACAATTTGTGTTAAAACTCCTTAAATATGAGAAAAAGAATCTACTTTTTATATATGTGAAAGATAAAATACTGACTTACCTAAATTATGATTTAATTAAAATCTCCAAATGGAATTTCAGGGAAGGAAAGAACGTAAGAGATCATCTCCTCTAACACTGTCTTGAGCTTGCCTACAAGAAGCTGAGAAATGGGATTTAAAAGTGACCTGTCCAGGGTCACACCTCTAGCTAGCAGAAGAGATGACAGCAGAGCCACAATGCCCTGATTCATAATTCATGTATCTTTTTATCCCATCATCCTGCCCTCCAATAATAATTATGCATAATGAAGTATGAACATGTCCAGTAGAAGGGTGCTTTACAGACAGAAAATTGGAGATCCTCTTATTTTAAAAAAAAAAAAAAAAAAGAGTAAAGCTGTCACAGTGTTACTTATATGGGAAAAAAATCATAACTTTAAAAAAAAATCAAATTAGTATGCCTACAACAAACACTTTACAGTCATAACTTGCTTTATGACTATTTTATTATATTTGATATTTATGTCAAAATCAATCCGTATGCTAATAATTATATTAATCTGGTGTTTCTTTAAAAATAGGGCTAGAAAATAACTTTTCTAATTTATATCCTTGTACTCAAATGATCATAATAAAACTATCTCAACTAATGACTTTCAGAGGCAATTTTACAGTAACCCCCCCCCCCAAGACATCCTTTCTTCTATCTAGCCTAAATCATTGTTGCTGTAGCTTATTTCCAATTCTATGTTCTATTTCACTAAATATATAAAAAGCCTAAGTTGATATATAAAAAAAGTTTACATTTCTCCAGCATATTTTCAATCCGTTAATTGATTTGTATATCTACTCTAAGCCTTCTACAAAGTCATTCAGTTGTAGAATGCAGAATTTTTATAGTATATAAATAAATGTCTGAGCAATGTGGTATAAAATGGGAGCGTTGGCTATTTCACCTGCATCATACTTCATAAATGACAATATTTGTTGCTGTGTGTGCTGAAGCAGTATACCTTCTGAGACAAGACCCTTTCTCATAAACATAACACATTCCATTTCTAGTAGCTGCCATTTCTTTAGAGAGAATGTGTCATGATGCTCTTTTTTTCCATTTTCATGACCAGATTGAGTTTCCTGATGTTATTTCTACTTAAAAGATACACTATTCAACACTTCCTTTCAATGTCACCACACTCTACATTATTGGAATGGGAAATAAGTGCAATGAAGTGGTGGCCCTTATAGCTGACTGCATGATTCCTAGAAGGCCTAGTGAAAAAGAGCACATCACTTCATTTTCTTCATAAGGGCATTATAATTTTAAAAAGAGAATTTTTCTGTCTCTGTCTATACCTACCCATACTGTATAACTCACTACAAATACTTATGGGATGGTTTAATCTTATTCATAGAGGTTTAGGTCTTACCAGCTTAAAATAGGTCAAAAATGGATCATTTGAAATTCGTCTTTTGTTTGTATTTTATTGGTTTCCTCTTGAAAAATGAGTGATGTCAGTGTTATATGAGAATCACTCTTTAAAAACTATTACAGTATGGCAAAGTTCCAAATGACCAAGATCTAGATCAAGGATGTTATTATCAAAACAGAGACATGTCAAGAATTACACATGAGAATTGGAAGAGGATGAGGGAACACCGAAAACTTTCAGATTTGAGGGAAGTAGTGTGAATATTGGGCCTGCCTTCCCCACACGAAAGATAAGCACCTTGAATAAACAACATAGACCAAACAGAGTTACAGAGAAGAATGACTCTTGATTGACTTTGGTGTGATAGAGAAATACAGTGTTTACTTCTATGGTTCTGTTATGGCTTTAAACTGATAGTTTATAGAGTTTTGAGAAATAAATAGGCAATTTTTAAGAAAGTTAAACAGAATAATAATGAATAAACTAGGATCTTGAGACCCAGTTTAAAAAGATTGTTAGTTTTGATTCAGTGGATTACAGAGTATGTAAATGAACTTTAAAAGATTAAACAGTGACTCAAATGCCAAAAAAATCTGGAAGATAATATAAACAGCATGCATATGAACTTGCTCATTAATTGAGATAAATGGATGGAAAAGACAATTGTATGTGCGAAAAGGTTGTTTCTGTATTAGCTTGAAATAACGAAGTGTTTTAGCAATGCAGTTCGAATAATTCAGAGAGAAAATCAGCCCTGTTAATGGAAATGAGATAGAAAGGAAGTAGGAAGATCAAACAGCAAGTTTAGATACTCAATTAGTGTTTCTTTTATTCCCAGCAATTAGCAAAATAACTAGCATGTCAGGAATTATCAACGCTTATTTGTCAACAAATGTTTGTGAAATGAATGGGAGGAAAAGCAAAGGGAAAAAAAAAAGGAAAACCAGGGTTGAGGAATGGTAATGTGTGGGAGTTGGACTTCTTTCTTATTTTCCAGACATCCTGTAATAATAGAATAATAATTTTTAAAGGGGAAGGAAAGTAAGAGGTTGGAAAGAGTCATCAGAGCCTGAGGCCAGAGGTTAACAACACTCTTATTAGATGACATTTCAAGTTCATTAAGCACCAGAAGGAAGCATAGGCATCCAGAAATAGTTTGAAATTAAAAGTTACATGAGGCCAGTGAGAACAGAGCACTAGCGAATTTTCCACAATTTAAATGGGGTGGTGTACTGAAAAAAATAATGGGCAAAGTCAGAAAACTGGCTCTGATTTCCTCTTTACCACTTGAAGCTCTGTGATTTGATGCTTGCCCCATAACTACTTTGAGTGTCTGCTTTTTATTAGTAAAGTATGGGATTTCCAGTTCATGTTGAGCATCAGATGAGATTTGGTATGCGCAAATTGTTTTGCATACAGTATAATCAACAAGTCCTTGTTTATAAAGGCATAGGTCAATTCATCAAGAAAGAATATGGGAGGCCGAGGTGGTCGGCTCACTGGAGGTCAAGAATTCGAGACCAGCCTGACCAACATGGTGAAACCCTGTCTCTACTGAAAATACAAAAACTTTAGCCAGGTGTGATAGCAGGCACCTGTAATCCCAGCTACTCGGGAGGCCGAGGCAGGAGATCACTTGAATCTGGGAGGCGGAGGTTGCAGTGAGCCAAGACTGCGCCATTGCACTCCAGACTAGGCAACAAGAGCAAAACTTCATCTCAGAAAAAAAAAAAAAAAAAAAGAATAAAGAATAGTTGTGTTTCACTCACATTTTGTTCTAATCGCTCATCTCTATTGAAATATCATGGACATAGAAGAAAGAGATAGTTTCAGCTCATACTCAGCCCTGGATTCTGCAGCTAAGATCAGTCGAAAGCTAAAGGAGTCATCATCATTATCACCATCACCACCATTACAACCAAGTGACTTTACATCTAGTGAGTGCTTGAAATGTGCCATGGACTAAGTGTTCTACATATATTATAATCTCATTATTATAAACTCATTATCATTTTCCCCTCAACAGTTTTTTCATTCCCATGATAGAACTGAGAAAACTGAGGTATGTAGAATTTAGGTAACTAACCCTAATCACCAGGAAAAAAAAAAAAAAAAAGTTAAATCACAGATATCCTTACAAAGATGGGAGAGAATTCCTGCCCACCAGTATGAACTGAGCTAGTTACTTAGTCCTGCCAAAGTTCTTCCCTATCAAATTGGAGCAACAATGGTATCTGTTTCATACAATATTTGTATTACTACTAAAGGAGATAGCTTCTAAGTAACACACCAAATACAGTACTTAGTCCATAATAAGTGCTTAATTAATTGAA